GCAGCAGCAGCAGCAGGAATCCGACGACAACGGGGCGGTGAGGGTGCTGTGTGCCACAGACACAGACCTGGCGGGAATGGTGTTCACAGTACAGCGACAGGGCGAAGAATCAGGGCTGCAGAGTGACTTTAAGAGCGAGGAAGTGACGCTCCAGTGCCGCCTCTGGAGGCGTGCGGCTGCTGCACCAGAACGAGCCGCGATGCGGCTGACAACAGAGGACTCATCGGACACGTTCTCATCATTTCATCTCTCAGCGGGCTCTAGTGAAGAGGGAGAGAAGGAAGAGGACCACGAAGGTGAACAAGGCGATGAAGTTGCCCCACTGGAGGGGGAAAAGTGGCACCTGCTTGCTGAAGGGAAGGTGATGGCCATGCGTTACGGCCCACAAACAGCAGAGCTTGTGCTAGATGCGCTGTCGAATGAGTCTGCGACGGCTTCTGTGCGTGTCTTATTCTTCATCGAGCCGCGCCTGCGATGGGGTGGGGAGGAACCAGCGCGCTTGAGAGCTACGGAAGAACAGATCAGCGAGGCAAAACCGATGCGTTTGGTGGCCTATGACAGCTCTGCTCCTACACTGAAGGTGAATGAGACGTCCGTTGGCACTCAGAATGATGGTGAGGTCGTAGTAGACACTGATGTTGCTGCATCTGATGCTGGTGACAATGCAATAGCTCCTCTAGGTGATGCTGCTCATAGCGTTGATGATGATACTGTGGCCCACGATGATGCTGATCGTGCCGCTGCTGTTGATACTGTTGTCGGTGAAAGTAGTCTGGAGGAGAAAAGCCCTCCGCGGAAGACCCCCACGGCGGTGACCCATTTCGCGGGAGACAGTCTGGCAGCGCGGTGGCTGCTACTTGTGAAGATGACGCGCTGGCGGGAATGTGTACCACCTGAGGGGGAAGGCAGCGGGGCCGCCGCAGCGAGTAGTGGAGTAACGGAGGATGAGAGTAGCCGTGGGGACGGCGGCGGAATGTGGCGGTTGGCACTGTGTGGAGCAGACCGTCGCGTGCTAGCCTGCGGCTCGGCTTTTCGCGCGTCGGTGTGCTGCCGCAGCGGCTGGTCCGACGCTCTGGTGGCTGTGGGTGATGATATCATAGCTGCTTCCGTCGTAGCGCTGCAGCTGCAGGCGTTTCTGCCCGTGCACGGCCATGGTGGCCGCAGTGATAGCAGCGACGGCCCCCTTTCCAGAGAAGGTGTGGTGACGGATGGCTTGGGGCGATGGGCGCCTATGACGGAGTCGAAGCTGCTTCCGATCGCCAATCTCCTTGTGTCGTCGACAGACGCGTCGATGCGGTCGGTGCCGTTGCGTGCAGCGGCGGAATGGCCCACCATGGCATGCCACCCGTTCCCTCGAGGGAAGCGTTGCGTTTGGGCGCGTGCGGCTTTGAGTCGTGTGCCGGCAACAAGGGCAGCTGCAGGAGACATTTCGGAGGGGGCAGCGGCGCAGCAGTGCGTTGCGGATTTTTTCCTCAGAGAAGCGCAACGTGCACGTGGCGCAGCTGCTGTACAGCTTTGCCATACGCCTCGCAAGGAAACAGTTTGCTCGGTTGCGTTGCATGTGGGTGCGGCGCTGCTGCAGCATCTAGACCCCCACGTAGATGTGGGCGCGGTGTACCCAGTCGTCGCACTCGCTGTGAGTGGGGGGCGCGAGACGCTGCTGCTCGATACATCCAATGCGAACAAAAGCATCAATATGGTTGACAGTGAGGAGGATCTGCGACGAGCTCCGGTGATGCAGTTTGACGTCCGCGTGCAAACAACGGTGGATGAGGCACACCCAGTGCTATTATTGACGCTTCGCAGCCCGGTAGCTCCAGAGGTGGTGCTGGGTCGAGCGGTGTTTTCCCCCTTTGAACTGGCGTTGCCGATGGGACACGAGTGGATCCCGCTACAGACCAGCGAGAGCGGTGAATGCAACACCATGAATGACGATGACGATAATAACACCGGCGGCTGGTCGGGCGCTCGCGTTGCTGGGTGGATTCACTGCAGCTACGAGTGCGTGTTCACTGGAGTTGAGGATGTGGAGGGCAACACTATTGCCAATGCTGCTCTTGTGGCGGATCAGGAGTTGCTGCAACGGCCTCTGCTACTCTCCGCCCCCCTGTCGGTGCCGAAGTATCTCGCTTCCGCCGCCTTTGCTCATGCCCTCCAATGGAACTGCATGCATCTCTGTATTGTTGAGGCGGCAGACTTGCGGTGCCGGTTGACCTTCGCCACAGAAAGTGGCAGCACCAGCCGCAACATCAACAACACCAACTGTTGCGTGTACGCCAGGGCGCTGCTTCTTCCCCCGTCTCCTGCGCCACAGCGTTTGGACGCAAACACCCCCACCGCTTCTCTCTCAACACCTGCTTCCGCCTCCAGCAACCCGCGCTGGAGCTGCTCTGGTCTGTTGCCCATCACCGCTGGTACGACGCATCTCCTCATTCAAGTCTTGGACGACAATAGCGACGGTGGCCCTGCCGCTGCTGCTGAAACGGGGTGTCTGGGGGTTGTGGATCTGCCGCGCATCGCCACTTCGCGCTTTTGGACCGCGCAATCAGGAGAGGCGTGGCTGCCTGTTGTGGCGCCCCGACGAGGGAAACCGCACTACCGCGGCGCCCTGCTTCTGCGGTGGGCATTCAGCTGCAGGGACGACACCCGAGCCGACGCGCTGCCGCGTGGTGTCGTCGCAAGTCTGCGGCCCACTTGGTCTGTTTCTGCGCCAATGCAACGGTACGGGGACTCCTGGATGCATCTACAGCACGTGGAGCTGATGTGGCCGTGGCTGCTGCACCCTACCACATGGAGGGGGTGGGGATGCTGCGCAGCACTTTCATCATTATCATCATCATCATCGTTGCTGCAGGAGTGCCCGGGCGTGTTTGTGCGGGTGACGGTGGACCACCACACCCACGAGTTGGCGATGGATGCGTCGTCACCCCCAGGCAGCCTGGTGGTTTCTGCAGACGAGGCGTTGTGCTTTCCCCTGGCGGAGAGTGTCGACGTGGCGGTGTGCTGTCGTGGCAATAACCGGTCTGCAGCTTCTTCCACAGACACTTCTGCTGTTTCGGTGCTTGGTGTTGGCAGGCTGTTGCTGTCGAGCGAGGACAGGGTCGATCTCCTCATGTGTCAGCGGCCGCGTCACGCGGTGCTGCGGATAGAGCCGTATTACGCAGGGCCCCAGTGCGGCGTGCAGGCTGGGATCCTGACGGCGCAGCTACGCGTGGCACAAATTGCGCGGCATCAAGACACACACTGGACGTGGCCTCCGCCCCACTGCGCCACGGTCGTCGAGCTTCGGCTTGGAAAAATCGTCGTACTGGGTGATTGTTACCATTCTGACTCGTCATCGTCGTTGCGGCTGACTCATGCAGCGGCACCACAGGCGCGCTGGATTGTCAGCGTGAGAGAGCGCACAGGAGCGCAACGCAAACACGGAGCCCACGAAACCACGGGCGGGACTTCCGCTGGGACTCTTTACCCACCTGTAGTGGTTTGCAGCACGAACAGCCACAGAGCCACTAACCCCAACTCTGCTGTACCACTCCACGAAGAGACTGACTGTATATATCTCCGCTGGCCAGTGTCGGCATTGGTGGGGAGGATGCAGCATCAACGGCCGCTGCCACCAACCGTCGACCTTCTGCTTTCCAGATCCGCGGGCGATGCAGCAGCCGCGGCAGCAGCACCAGTGACAGAGTGTGTGGGATGCGTCACTCTTGACTTGACGTGCTGCTTTGCGGAGGAGAAGGGTACCGCGATGTATGCACTCCACCGCCTATGCGACGCGAATGAAAAAGAAATCAAAGGTGCGGGAGGAGCGATTGGTTTTGTGGAACTCTATTATGCTCACAATTTTGTCCTTGATGAACGCCCGAATGACGCTGAGAAGGAAGCAAAGGGACAGCGCGGCGCTGGTGAAACAGAAGAAGAGCTTTTGGCTGTGACCATTGTGAGGGCACGCTACCGGGAGCCTGCTGGAGGCATGCCAGTGCCGCCGCAAGGAGAGGAGCCACGAACATCCTTTCTTGTGGGTGTTGGGGAGGTGTCGTGGCGCACCCCACCACAGGCGGGCATGACGCCCTGGTTTGGCTGCTTGATGGTGTTTGAGCGCCCTGACGCTCTGGCGAAGCCGTGGGACAAGACACGGGACCAAGTGGCGGTGAGTTTTCGGCTGCAGATGCTCGAAGAGGGGGTAGGCGAGAGGGGTGATTCCGCCGCTGGTGAGGTGGCGCCGTGGTTCCCATCTACAGCCTCCGCCGTGCTGCGGCTAAGGCAGGATGACTTTGCTGCTGTTGGCGAGATGGGCGCAGGGCATTGGATTTCCTTGTACGCGACGGACACACAGGCTGGAGGCGTGTCTGTTCTTGTCGGGGAGGTGCTTCTGCGGTGGGGATGCTTCAAAGGCTCCTCCTGGGACCGCGTGATGCCTCTGTCGGTT